ACTATGAATTTAACATTGTAGACATTTGCTGAACTTTTAATCAAGTCAACAGATAAACAAGATTTAGCTAAATGCAATAATAGCAATCTTTAAATTTGGCTTCACTTGTATCAGAGAGGTGTTTATTCAACTGTATAATAGGTCTAAAGGCTGTAGTGCCGATATCTTCTGACACAGCAGGCTCTCCAATGTTGTCCGATCTCCCTATTGTCAGTCTTCATCAGTAAAAAGTTTTTGATATGTATGTTGTGTTTTAATTTTTTCGCGACCAGCGAAGCAGTGTCCCCTGGGTCTGCAATACAGGGAATGCATCAGCTGCTGCCCGGCCTCCTGCAACCTGGAGCGAACATGCATCGACAGCAAGCTGGCCTGCCTGGATGGATGCTACTGCCCTGATGGTGCGTATCTATTCAGATTATATTGATCTATCATTGCGTCTATTCTCCCGAAAAGACTGCATATACGCCTTTTATTACACTTTCTTTTTCTCATCTTTTGCCCTTAAAATATACTACCTATTAAACTTTTCCTCTCTATAAATGTATCGGCCATCGCTTTTCTTTTTCCACCTTTAATTAACATCTAATCTTTTATTGAGTAAATAGGCGTGAGAGAATCCTGCATCTGTCTGTCCTCAGGTCTGATTTACGAGGACGGAGGCTGTGTGACGCCCTCCGACTGTCCCTGCGAGTACCACGGCCTGTTTTATCCGTCTGGACAGACGCTGCAGGAGGAATGCAGCAACTGGTGAGTGTTGTGCTTCATGCTTCATTCGATAGATGCTTCTGTGTTTACGTGCTTTACTGTCTTCACATTGACTATCACAGCCGTGCCTCGAGGCTGTTACTTCTGTTGTGTCTCTCCCCATTACTTCCTGTTTTCTCTCAAGACATGTGACATGACAGCAAGCACCGTTTAACCCCTCTGTCACTTCCTATGCCATTATAACAAGACTGGGTGAAAAAATGGATAGAAGATTTGATTTACCTGTTCAAATATTGTTCTTTTATCTCATATAAAATGTGTGCGAGGAGTACCAGCTTCATGCTTTTTACTGTATTTAAACAAACATCTTTGACATCATCCCCTTTGGATCCAAAGTGAAAACTAGATGAACGAATGTGAGACCATCTATTGTGACATGTCATCAACATATATTAAAAAAAAGCAGGTTATTGTCCTGCAGACTCCACACGCTCCTTTTAATCTTCTCCGATCTGACCACCTGGGCTCGGTTTGTCCAGTTTCTATCCGTGATCCTGCTGATTGGCTCCGTCTTTCATGTTCTCCACCTGTGGATGTCTCTGCTTTCTGTTTCAGCACATGCGTGGGTGGAGTGTGGAACTGCACCGACTACAGCTGCCCAGGTTTGTGCCTTGGCTCTGTGGGCGGTTGAATTTGTACTTAAACAGTGCCGCAGGTCACTTTAAAATTCAATGAAAGAGGTGATTATTTTATTACAACCCAAAGATGCTCTCAACAAGTCATCTTTGGTGGAAGGATCCTACTTTGGGGACTATTAAGGAAATACCATCGTAGTGAAGGTCCAAGAAGGAAAATGTCTCCTACTTTGGGAGACGGGAAAAAGTCCCGACATATGTTGCAAGTAAATGCTTCCTAATTAGGGAAATAGGAAGGAGGAGGCTTCCATTTTTGGAGTAAGAAAAAAGGGATCATCCTATTGAGGAACAAAGGAAAAGGAAGCATCCTAGTTAGAAGTTAAGGATTAAAGAAGGATTAAAAGCAAGCAAGCAAGGAAGGACAAGGCATCTTAGTTCGGGAACATGAAAGGAAGAAAGGTTAAGGAAGGAAAATCTCAAAATATGGTGCAAGGAAATGCTTTCCAGTTTAATTTAAGTAGTTCTAATTTAGTTGTACAAAGTCAGGGAAGCAATGCTTAAGTAAGGCCTGATGTTTCCTTACACATCAAAGAATAATCCCAGTCTCTTCCACACAGAACACTGGTATCGGATCGGTACTCGATATAGACCGATGCCCTTAGACCAGGTATCGGGACTGAAAAAGTCTTGAAGGAGCAAAAAAAGGGGCATGTCCTTCTGGGCAAGTTCAAAGAAAGAAGGTAGCTTTCGAGGTAGGAATGAAGGAAGGGGACAGGTAGCAAGGATGGAAAAAAAGATTCCTAGTTTCGGAGTGAGGAAACGAGAGTCTCGCTCTCTTTCTCTACAGGCGAGTGCTCGGTGACCGGCGATATGTATTTTCAATCCTTTGACGGGCGGATCTACACCTTCTCTGCAACATGTCAGTACGTCCTCGCCAAGAGTCACAACTCGGGGAAGTTCACGGTCACCATCCAGAACGCCCCCTGTGGAGCCGTGAGTCACCTTTAATCTGCTTTATCTTTTATTTGTTTTCTTTTCCTGCTTCTGAAACAAACGTCTCTACATCTTGGAAAACTCCTGCACAACTCCTCCACAATCAGCCTCTGCAAGTGCTCTCCTGTCTCGGCTTACAGCTTTAAACAATTTGTCCGTCGTGTAGATCATATCATAATTTAAGTGCTCGATAATCCCCCGCTGAGTCCAGGTCGTTTTTTTTTGTTGAAGAGCCATGCTGCGATTTAGAGAAATGAAAGCCTCGAGGAAACCTCGTCGATCAAACTGTGGGGAGATAATGAACACGAAAAAGCAACCTTCTCTCTCTCTCTCTCTTCAAGCCTTTAATTACCCAGCTGCCTTTGAGCTGTCCCACTCATCAGAGAAGAGGCCCGAGTCCTCCAACAGCCAACTGAACAGGATTACCTTATCTGGCCTGACTGACAGAAGCTGTGGACGGCTTTGTAGTGAGGAGGGAGGTGAAGAGAGGTGCTGGATGGGGTGGGGGAGTTGGACAGAGAGAAGGTTATGTGGAAAACAGGAGGTGAATGATGGGAAGAGTAAAAGGAGGAAGGGGGAGGGGGGGGTGCTAAAACCTTTTGGCTATGGGGCTGTCACTTATGAAAGAGACGATTCATAGAGGCAGATCGCTTACTGTCAGCGACGTGCAGGTTTTATTACTTTAAAAATATCAGAGCAGCAGAGCAAGTAATTGTAATTTATTAAAGTAATGGACCAAAGTGCAGTTTTGAAGTACTTCCTTGAGTGTTGGTAATCACTGTTAGACATTGATCTTCTTGCCCTGATAACGGTGATAGTGGTTAGTCCGAGATATCTTTGACAACTGCTGCACGGATTGTAAACAGTGGTTGTATAAATACTCCTGAAACTTCTGTCATTGTCCTCCAAAATGTCCCATATTACTGCTCCCAAAATCACTCGTATGCACAGTATCTGATCTAGGCATCTAAAACTACTTGGTTACCATTTAAGTGGCAATCTTGAATTTTTATTTTTTTATATAAATGTCTGTGAAGTCACAATCTAATGCCGAATTAGGCAACACAATGGGGACTGAGCCTATGGCCCAGTGATGAAAGTATTGCAATATTGATATATTTGCAGTATTACAAACTGAATTGCTGTGCGGACATTACTGGAAAAAATGCTCAACAGAACGCTAAAAAAATAGCATGTTAGTATGAAATTAATAAATATAAATAGAATAGGAGTAGCATTAAAGCATGGTGGAATTAGCAAGATAGCTAACTAGCAAGCTGTCCACTAGTTTCCAAGCTAGCTTGCCAATTCCACCATACTTTAATGCTACACTGGTTACAGGAAATGAACCAAAAAAAGTCACTAATTTGTTGATAGCAATGTGCTTTCCTATGCTAATTTTTACTCATTTACTCTCTACGCTTCGTAACGTTACCACTCGACTGCGCGTTTCAGTCGTTTCTGCAAAACCTGCCTTGTTAAGTCGGTTTAGTTTACACAGCAGTTAGCTCGCTACAACGGTAGCAGTGGTAACGGTTCATAAAAATGGCCGCCTCTCTGACCACCTTGCTACTACCTGATTTATTTCTCTGGTTGTTATGCACATTGTAGCCTCTAGGGGCCGCTAATGAGGCTTTACACTTTTCATCAGTTTGAATACAGGACTATTCATCACCACCGCTTTTATGGTTTGAGAGTAAAATCTTTTTACTTACTTTCCCTTTGTTTTCCTCTCTCTCTCTCTCTCTCTCTCTCTCTCTCCCTCTCCCACACTTCCCATTATCTCCCTCTCATTGTGAGTGCTGTTGTGTATCTGAACTGCTGTTGCTGCTGTTTGGGATTATGCCCAGCGTGCGTTATCAAGCCATCTCGTCTCAATTGCAGAATTTGGATGGGGCCTGCATCCAATCAGTTAACCTGGTTATTGACGAGGATCCAAGAACGGAGATTACACTGAGTCACGTCGGCGAGGTCTTCATGGCCGGACAGTACCGTATCTCCCTGCCCTATTCTGATGGTAACTTCCTCACCTTTTATCTACTTCACACATTGTTCACACAATTACAAACACATTCCGACAAAGTATTTAACTATCAATCAATCAATCAATCAATCAATCAAGACCATTTCATGAAGAACATATAGAAATATACATATAGAAAAACATTAAATCTTGAAGTACAAAGCCAAACAGATCCAAAACTAGTGCTCAAACTATCAGTTGATTAATGGAGTATATTTAGCTGAAAACTGATAAACAACACTTTTGATAGTGAAGTAAAAAATTCTTCGTTTTATATCATAGTAAATTCGATTTATTAGGGTTTTGGAAGACATCACTTTGGGATGTAGGAACATTTTAAGGGAATTGCCTGAATCCCGACATGATTCCATTGAAAGACGATAAATTATCATATTGAATTATCATCCAGCCCTAAAAGCAAGATGTCCTTTAATCATCTCATCTGCTGCCACCTGAAAGCCTAAAGTGTCGTCCGCCCTCATCTCCCTGCAGACATCTTCCACATCCAGGAGCTGTCGTCCATGTTCCTGCAGGTGAAGACGGCGTTCGGCCTGCGTCTGCAGTACAGTTGGAGGGAGTTTCGTCTCTACCTGCAGGCCGACGAGCTGTGGAAGGACGACACCGTGGGCCTGTGTGGCACCTTCAATGGCAACATTCAGGACGACTTCCTGTAAGTGTGTGTGACCTTTGACCCCCTTAAGTCCCCCCTCCTCCCATGATATAGGAGAGAGCTCCTGTTTCAGAGGAGGAGAGGGAGGTGATGGTGAAGTTGTCTGTCTGTCTGTCTCTGTCTGTCTCTCTCTCTCTCTCTGTCTCTCTCTCTGTCTGTCTGTCTCTGTCTCTCTGTCTGTCTCTCTGTCTGTCTGTCTCTCTGTCTGTCTCTCTCTGTCTCTCTGTCTGTCTGTCTCTCTCG